TTAAGGAGAACTCTATATTGGACTGTTGTAATACACCACATTATCCAGTTAATCCATTTTTCACAGAATCCCAATTTTCTTAAAACCTTTTCAATGAAAATCCATTCCACCCTATCATAAGCTTTACTCATATCCGTTTTAATAGCCATGAACTTTCCTTTACAGGAGGGGTTAGTTCTCAAACCATGAAACATCTCTTGTGCAATGAGAATATTATCCGAAATCAAACGCCCTTCTACAAAAGCTGATTGTGTTTCTGAAATCAGTGTTGGTAGAACCGTCTTAAGTCTCTGGCAAAGAATCTTCGATATAATTTTATAACCAACATTGCAAAGACTTATAGGCCGTAACTCCGTCATCCGTGTTGGTCTTTCCGTTTTTGGAATCAAACAAATATTAGTCGTATTTAACCTTTTATCAAAAATTCCATCCTCTAAAAAAGAGTTGACTAGAAAAAGAAGATCTTTTTTAATAGTAACCCAAGCCTTTTGAAAAAATAATGCGGTCATACCATCAGGTCCTGGCGATTTTTCCGGATGCATCATAAACAAAGCCGTTCGCACTTCACACTCCGTTGCGGGTGCCGTTAGAAAATTATTAATCTGATCCGTAATAAGACTTTGAACTTCTGCCAAGGATTCCTCAAAAGCCTCAGGCTTTGTTGTAGTAAACAAATCCTTAAAATAAGAAACCGCTATATTTTGAATATCTTTATCCTCTGCAGACCAAATCCCGTTTTCATCATGTAACCCCGTGATTCTATTTCTTGCCCGTCTCTGTTTCGTTAGAGCATGAAAATACTTTGAATTATTATCCCCTAATTTCATCCAAAAACTCCTACTCTTTTGATGCCAATACAATTCCTCATCCCGATAAGCCTCTTTTAATCGCATTGTTAATTCCGTAATCTCTTCCCGTGGTCTCCTGTCATCTCTCTGTGCCGCAAATAATTCCGTTTTTAGTTCTTCAATTGTTTTCCGCCCATAAGGAATTAATTCTCTCCGCCATTGCGAAATAGCTCGCCTACAATTAGATAATTTTTCCACAAACTTCCCAACTCCTAGCTCTGTATCACTATTCCAACCATTTGCAATTGCCTCTAATAACCCTTCCTTCCCTATCCATCTCTTATCAAACCTGAAACTCCGTTTCCCCCGTGGTACCTTATCGGCAATCGTAGCAATCACCGGTGAGTGATCAGAAGCTACCATTGGTAAGTATTCTACGAATGAATTGCAGAACAATTCATGCCAATCTTCATTCGCTAACGCTCTATCCAAACGACACCGTATTGGTTTTTTATCCCGCCAACATCGCCAAGACAACCAGTCTCCGATATATGGAAACTCCAAAAAGCCACAATTTTGAATCATTAAATTAAAAGGGATAAAAGATGATGCATGTCTTAATTTACCACCTCTTTTTTCATGATTTCCAGTTAATTCATTAAAATCACCGATTATAAACCAAGGTGTATCCCGAGACAAACCAGTTCGTGTTAACCGCTCCCAAACTTGTTCCCTCTTATTTGGAACCGGGTCTCCATAAACAAAAGTGAGATTAATTAATTTACCTTTATAACTTGCTTCAATATCGATTAACCGATTACTTTGATAAAGAATTGAAACATTGAAATCATTATTATAAAAAAGAGCTAAACCGCCACTACAACCGATAGGATCAACCGTTTTTAAATTTTTGTAACCAAAATGACCAATAAATTTTTTCATAAAAAAAGTAGATTGTTTGGTTTCCGAAAGAAACAAAAAATCCGGTCGATGTTGTTTCCACAAATCCCGAAGATAACCGATAGTTGCCTTATTACCGAGTCCTTGACAATTCCAGCTTAAAACTTTCATTTATCAACTTTCGGTTTTGGTGGTTTTCCTCCACCCGGTACTCCCTTCACCGTGCCATGGTTCATCGGGTTGTTGCATTCCTTACCTTGGTTCCTTTCCTTTGTTTTATTTTGTCTCCTTAAATAATACCCATACTTACCAAATAAAATGTATCTTCCACGTTCCTTATTAAACCAAACATAATCTCTCCTCAAAGCAATACTTACCAAAAACCACACTCTGCTTAAAGGCCGAAAATGCCAGGAGAGAAAAGATGCCATATCAGACCAATTGAGTCTTCTTAAAGATAAGACATTCAATTTTATTCTCTTTGAAAATCCTTTCCCGATTATCAAACAAAATCTCCAATCATGAATTCCCGATATACTATCTCCTACATTCCAAAATTGAGAATCTGTGTACCATTTAATTCCCTCTTGATTTGGAAACAAAACACTCGCCCAAAATCGTGACATTTCCACCATTAAATGACACAACTCTTTCCTTTGCCACCACAGGAGAGTTAATCCAACTTTCCTTAGACGCAACACCCGACCAAAGTCATTCCTCAGAGATCCCCTAACGTAACCGGAGATGACACCGCTTGCCCACCGAAAAAACAATTCCGACCGTGAATAATCAGACTTAGTTCTAACTTTTCCAGAAGAAATAAATTCCATAAAAATCCCTCTAACATTTAGCACCAGATACTCTATCTCCATAGAGCCTCTACTAAGCCTTTCAAAGCAAAACTTGAACTCCTCCGTCAACTTCCACCAAACACAGCACATACTCGTACCCCAATACTCTGACCCTATTGATTCCAACTCTACATCCATTAGCAGCACAACCCAGACAGGGATCTGCAACACCTCCATATTCGATTCCAAAATCAAAACCGTAAAGCCCGAAAATAGATCACAGCCTCTCCAGATCTGATGTGGCCTCACCGGATAAGACCAAAACAACACCTGAATCGACCCATCCTGGAGAGAAATATCTCTTACCCCCAAATCAAAACCTGAATCAGCGAAACTCAAGACCAAATCGAGACATGAGGAGGCCAAGACTGCCAAAAACGCCACCAGATCCTCCCTAACCAAACAGCAACCGTAACAAAACCGTAAAAAAACCCTCGGATTAAGATCTCTCATTGTCGGGAATCAAACCCTAGAGTCGCCACCATTTTCAACCAGAATCTTTATTTAGGATAATAGTCCACTATTAATATTTTTATATATGTTCATGGGTCGACATTTTTATTTATAATTTAAGCAATCAATCCCTCTAAATTTGATGAATTGAGTTAATCCAAGCAATTTAGTCGGCTAATACCTCGTTGGCTAAAACATGCATATTGTAATTTATAAAAAAATTAAAGAAATTCATGGTGGAGACTCAAAGATGGATAGTAACGGTCAACAAAGAGTAATGTTACGGAACTACGTGTATCACCCTTTGGTACCCGGTTAATAAATGACGAAAAAAGAAGGAAATTGTCTTGCCATCTTTTGTGCTTCTAATTAATTGCAATGCTATTAATTTTCGAATATCTCTTTCCGTCAAAGTGTAGTTAGACACTCAGACTTAAACATTGCCGAAACATATTTGCCCATATATTTTAACGAATCGGTTTAAGCCAAAAGATTATCTGCAACAGAAGCCATAATATGTATCTGCAACATAAGCCAAAAGATTATAGACCAAAGTCTTATTAATTTTTCTTAAAGCCTAAATTATAAGCCAATCGTGTTGTAGTGGTTTTTAAAAGTTACATTTTTTCTTTAGGCTGTAGCAGAGTAAATTTTTTAAGCCCTATTTTCTTGGCTGTAGAAGTTTTGATTCACATTAATATTAGATAAATATAAAAATTAGAAATTATCAATAAAAATTCTAAAAATAAAAAACAAAGATAAGATCCAAAAATAAAATTATCAAAGAATACGTAGACTTTTGTAGACTTTTGTGTTTTGACTAGAATTTTTTAAAAAATATTTATTGTTTGTATTTTAATTTTAATTAATAATAGAAACATTTTATTTACTTTAAAAAGTAAAAATAAAATTTTATTATAAATATTATATTTTTATTTTAAAATACCTACGTCCAAAAACTTACAGCTACAACTAGTTCACTTAGGGCTTGACTGGTTTAATCGCAGCGGTTGCGATTGTGGTTGTGGGAGTTTGCGGAAGCAGGGGGTTGCGGTTTCAAGCGTTTTTTAGCGTTTCGACCGACTGGTTTAGCGGTTGAAAACGGGTGCGTTTGCGGGAGATTTACGACTGGTTGATCAGCGGGTACGATAGCGGTTAAACCAAAATTTACCAAAATAAATTTAATATATGATTATAAAAAATTATAAAACACCAGAAACTATAGTTATGAAAAGTATAAATTTTTTAAAAATGATTAATGATTAAAAACCATAAATAATTATTCATATAAATTTTTATATTGAAAACAAAAATAATTATTTATATTAGAAAATTAAAGTTAAATAATAATTATTTTTTAGAATTAACGTGAATATAAATCATACATGATGATATATATTTTAATTTATTTATTTTCCTTTTTTAGTTTATTTCCTTTTTTACACCAACCGCAACCGCCCGCAACCGCAAACGCTTGCGGGAAGGAGCTTTTGAAATCCAGCGATTTCGAGCGGTTCGAAGCGGTGTGGAACGGTTTCTATGATTGGTACCAACCGCTAGCAACCGCAACCGACCGCTAACAACCGCTAGGCGGGTGCTAGCGGGAGAACCAAACAAGCTCTTACAACAAAAATTCTACAGCAACAAACGCTACAGTTACAGCAAAAATTATGCAGTAAAAACTTTACAGTTACAGCCCAACCAATCACCCACCAATACTCCTTCTATTTCACAAAAATTGTCTTTCTAACGTTTTATTTTTGTTTCACAAAAAGTGTTAATCTACGTTTTCAATGTTATTTTTATACTTTCATTGAATTTAAACCATTAAATACTTATTACATAAGGACATATATGTATAATACAATGATTTATTTATTTGTGTGAAATGTGTTAAAAAGGAACTGAAATGGAAGATGTATATTTTTTTTGTTGAGGGAATAGTCTTTTCATTGATTGTTGTAACATCATTACCTGTATATGTACCTGCTTTCATGCCCCCACAATCTCTACTATTAAAATACTTATATAAATCAAATACAGCTATACACACATTGTGGTTTTGGTAATCGTTTAACCTTTGAGACATTCTGATCACCAAAAAAGGATACCTTTAAGAAAAAATGGCTTCAGAGAGCACTCTAAATATTCAAGTGTTAGCAAAATACAAAGTTTCTCCAACAAGACTTCTGGTCTTGTGTCTCTGAATCTTCATCAGCGCGGATTGCATTTGGACCAGACCGGAAAAGCTTCCACATAAACCAGAGGTCAGACTTGGCTTTGACTGAATAGTAATGTCTTAGTTATGTTCATCTCATGGAGTCAACAGTTTTGTAGTCAATATGCTGTCTTCTTCGCCGGCACCTGAATTGAGGTTTAGCATCTGAGAATTTCGTCTCACGAGACATCCCCATTGTTGAATCTGTATCTGCTCCAAATCCAAAACAATCACCACCAATTTAATACATACAGTTAAATGTCAGAGTCAGACAAAGACCTAACATGATAAAACCCAATTCTACAACGCATAATCAAATTGTGTTGTTTGGCTCTGACTAGATTGATGTTTCACCATTTACAATCATTCCCTAACCCAAATTTGACAACTTTCTGACAATTCCTATGTTTTGCTACATCAGGCAAGACCATAATAGACAAGCAAAGCAAAATCAGACTCATTGATCAGAAGAAAGTTTCCATCTTTAGTCTTAAGAACATCAAAATCAATCTCCAAATCTTCATAGCAAAGATCACGAATCTCAATATCGAACACAATTGCTTGAAAAGTCTCGAATTTTTTACCTCCCCAAAACAATGGCTTGGCATCTTCTTCTTCATCATCGAATTCATCACCATAACCAAACTCAGCATCACCTCTGTAACCAGGTTCACTCCCATACCCAGATTCATTCCCCATTGGATCAACTCCAATAGCGAATCCAAATCCACCAGAAGCTTCCTTCTCTCCGCCGGAATCTCTACGCGAATTCCTCGCCGCCTCACTCACATCAGAAGCCCAATTCGCTTCACCAAAAAGCTCTCCACTTGAATCTGTACCAACAGCGAAAGGCAAATCGGAGCAAGTCCCATGAGCTCCAATGGAGCAACATTTCCGAGTCCCACTCCGATCACTACTCCGACCAGACACCGATCTCGAATTACAACGCCGTCGCTTCCTCGCTACTAACCGGAGACTTCCTCTGTTGCTGTAATTCGAAGCTGATAACGTCTTCCCTCCATTGTCGTCGTCGGCGAGTGAGAGACGGCTCATAGCTTCGATGGAGAAAGAGGTGGATCGATCGGAGAAGCAAGGGCGTTTGGGAGTGGAGTGAAACCCATTGGACTGCGGTGGTTGGTCAGATGAGTCTAGGGTTTTGGAGCGGTGAAATGGGCGCCATGAGAGGAGCTGTGAAGTGCAAGATTCAATTGAACTTCGCGATGATTCTCGATGTTTCTTAGACATTGTTAAAGGTACCAACTTTATAGATCACAGAAAAAAAAAAAAAACCTTTAGGGTGAATCTGAATTTGGGAATGGATCTTCGTTGTTTTCTAAGTTGTAGGAGAAAATCGAGTAGCGAAGATTTGGAGTTGCTCTTTTGGGTTTAAGAGCTTTTGTAATTGAGCCAACTCATTGTCTCTTGTGTTTATTTCACTAAGATTTGTTGCCAAACGGGTCAAAATGTATTTGATTACGGTCTACAGACACAATGTATTTTATACGGCCACGTGACACTCACGTGATGATCTCTGCTATTATTAATCTCTCCCCAATTCGAAAGCCCTAGAGAGCCAGATCTCAATTTCTCCATTCAGGTGAGACTTTTTACCTTTCTTCTTCTTCTCTTCCATCGGAATTTTCTCTCAGGTGATCGGAATCGTTACTGGAGTTTTAGTTCATATATAGACGATCAATCAAACCTCGTTAGTTTTAGAGCTTTTTATTGTCTTCTTAGGTTAATCGTTATCCAATGAGTTTTTGTGTGTGATCGCTAACTTGTTTTGAATCTCAATTTTTGATTTTGTGAAAGGAAAAAATGAGCAGCCGTTCGAGTAGAACAATTTACGTCGGAAACCTTCCCGGCGATATTCGTGAAAGAGAAGTTGAAGATTTGTTCAGTAAGGTAAATTACTCGTTTCATCTAAATCAAGAACTCAGGATCGAATTTTGTGTTATGTGATGAAAATTGTCTTTACTAGATTAATATGTCAAAGAAATTGAATGCTTATTAGAAATTGTTGGCTCGTGTTTTTTTGTTTGGTTTTTTTCTTGCAGTATGGACCTGTTGTTCAAATCGATTTGAAGATTCCGCCGAGGCCTCCAGGCTATGCATTCGTCGAGGTCAGCGCTTTATGCAACCTGCATGTAGGCTTGTTGTTGATTCTACATTTAGGTGGCTACCAACCACTTAATTTATTTTGTGATATATGTATGTGCTTTAGTTTGAGGATGCTCGGGATGCTGATGATGCAATTTATGGCCGTGATGGTTATGACTTTGATGGGCATCGTTTACGGGTTTGTTAATCATCAAATTCCAGAATTTCTACACAAACTTTGTATTGTTGTGGTGGTAGCCAAACATAAATTGATGCGTGTTGGCCATTGCAGGTGGAACTAGCTCATGGTGGGAGGCGTTCATCACATGATGCACGCGGTAGTTACAGTGGCGGTGGTCGTGGCGGTCGTGATGGTGGTGACGGTGGTGTTCGTGGGCGTGGACCATCTAGGAGATCTGAGTACCGCGGTACATATGATATGTTTAGCATTAGTCTATGCAAGAGTTATTGGGGAAATCACTAAATTAATATTTTTCATTATACAGTTGTAGTGTCAGGTTTGCCGTCATCTGCGTCCTGGCAAGACCTCAAGGTGACTACACAATTGCGGACAGATTCCTCATTCTTGTTCCTATATTTCAAAGATTTCCGAATCTTGACATATCACTTTGTTTTGAAGGATCACATGCGTAAAGGAGGAGAAGTTTGTTTTTCGCAAGTGTTTCGTGATGGTAGAGGTAAATCCTCATGTCTTACCCAAGAGTAGAGATGTGTCTAATGCTGTTTGGATTTTACTGCATTTAAATCCTGTATTAACTTTTTTGTGAATGCTTTAAAAAATCTATATCTTGGACTATTTATTTACAGGTACAACTGGAATAGTAGATTATACCAGCTACGAGGACATGAAATATGCGGTGAGATGTTCATCTTCTTCCTATTATTTGATTATTTTGTGTGAGTGAGAATGTGTTCATCCTTGATTACTCATGATTATATTTTTTATTCTGTACAGATTAAAAAGCTCGACGACACAGAGTTTCGGAATGCGTTTTCTCATGGATATGTTCGGGTATGTTAAAGACAAGGATTCTGAGAGCTGCATTCGTTTTTAATTGCACTTAACATTTCCCTATATCATTGTAGGTTAGAGAATATGATTCAAGGAGGGATTCGAGGAGCCCCAGCCGTGGAAGATCCTATTCTAAGAGCCGCAGTCGTAGTCGCAGCCGGGGGCGGAGCCCTAGCCGCAGTAGAAGCAGGAGCAAGAGCAGAAGTCCAAAGGCTAAATCTTCGCGCAGATCACCTGCAAAATCTACATCGAGATCTCCTCACTCTCGCTCCCGCTCTAAGTCAAGGTCACTGTCTCCACGGGGGTATGCTTAGTTTCTTCTTTAATGTTTATGCTAAATATCCAACATAAAACGTAGCATAGGCTTTATTTAGCTCTTCCCATGAAGTTTGCTGACATCTCATTAAAATATGTCATTGGGATGACTTGAGTTTTTGATTGAGAATGATGATTGCTTCTAGCTAAGGGTACACGATTTATTACCTTTTGAAAGTTCGGTCTTTTATTGTTGAGAATGGTTTTGTTTCCTAGATATGGATATACATACAATCAACTAAAATATGGGAAATAGTATCTGGATCATGGATATCTTGGTTGGTTGTACACAACTGTTTCGTCTCAGAGGTATATGCTCTTTCTTAGATGGGCAAGTTTGGAATTGAAACTTTATTTTTCCCCGTTTTCTGATAACATCCATTGCTGCTAGATGGGTAACAGTGGAGACAATGGATCGCATTGATATAGTGTCGTCAAAATGGATCCATCGAGCTAGGAAAGATACTTTCATTACCTGCTATTCAACAAGCGATCTGGATTCTCATGGAACTGATGCTGTCTGGACACAGGGTTTGATAGAATTAGATTTGCTTTGATATTGTCCATCTCTGCCCTCTGTTTTAACGAAAAGCATGCGTGTGTTGGTTCTATATACTCTGCTAGAAATTGCCTGAAGTTATCGTTTATTTTTTGCTTTATTGTGATTACGGTTTGATGTCTGACACGGAATGAGGCATCAAGGGTCTTGGTGAAACAGCTATTAATCACGGAAATATTGGATTTTTAAAACTGGATTTGTTTCTTGGAATTTTGCAGATCTCGTTCAAGGTCAAGATCTCCTCTACCCTCTGTAAGTCAATCTATCTCTATACATGTTTTACTAGGCTATAATATCAGCACAATTATTTCGGGTTTTCGATCCATACGATCCAAAAGACAAGATGTATGTCTAGCTAATTAGATTCTCATCATCTTGATTGAATTGTGTGTGTTGCAGGTTCAGAGGGAAGCAAGCAAGAGCCCAGCGAAAAGCCCTATCCGTGGGAGGAGCAAGAGCAGAAGTAGGAGTCCATCTCGGTACTGCACACTCTTTTTTCACTTGTTTGCAACATTGTCGTTGCTCTTTGTCTGAATCTATCTCCAACTGTTTTACAGGTAAAGAAACATCTCGTAATCAAGGTAAAAAAGCTGGGTTTGTTGGAAGATTCTCCTAAAGATGATATCTCTGCTAATTGCTATGTTGTTGTTGTTGGTGTGACTAAAACAAAGTATGATAAGTTGAAAAACTAGTTGTATTTCTGGGTTACCTCATGAGATTTCACTCTCTTTTTTTTCTCTCTTAAATATTCACTGTAACTGTGTTCAGGATTCTCTATAATAAGTTAGTGCTCAATAGGAACTATAAAAAATTTACTATCGAATGCCAAATTAAAAATCAAAAGCTCACAATATAATACATACTGTATATTGTATTCAAAAGCTAGCGAATATGTTATTTCTGACTCATGAAAACAAATCAAATTCACATTAATGAAGCGTGTACATTGAACTGATTTGAAATCCAGTTGAGTCCGTACGATGTCTTATTCGAGAGCTGTTCAGCATTATTTGCCTTTGTGTGGAACAGGTAAGACAATTCTCGGTTTACTCGTACCGGATCCACATCCACAACAGTATAAGTGAAGAAGAGAAAGATTTGGATAAGAAAGAAAGGGGCCGTTGTTAATTGAATATCAGAGGAGGTTGAGAGAAGAAGAGAGAGATCCATGGCGGAATCAACCTTCTCTTGTGTACCAGAAGACGTAGTCTTCAACATCTTCTTCAAGCTTCAAGACGATCCAAGAAATTGGGCTCGTCTCGCTTGCGTCTGCACCAGATTCTCCTCAATTGTACGAAACGTTTGCTGTAAAACACAGTGCTACTCCGCTATCCCCACCGTCATCTCCGATCTCCTCCCTCCTTCTTCCTCCACCGCGGCGGATTCGTCTCTTCCTCCTCCCGGTGGTTGGGCTTCTCTTTTCAAACTCGCCGTCTGCTGTCCTGGTCTCTTCCACGCTGGAATTCTCCTCGAAAACTCCGATTTCGGTTTAGAACGTGAGCTAGGTCCCGATCAAAACCTCGATCCTAAACCTTCTACGACGGATCTAGCTAGTGACGACGGGGAAGTTTCGAAACCACTCGGATCTGGTTTAGAAACGACTTCGTTTTGGTCTCTATATGACGATCTCTACACCGATACTATTCCCGCTCCTCTCGAAGATTCGATCGACGAACAAGAAGAAATCGAGACCAGTGACATCAGACCTGGACGAGATCTTCCGGTAAGGAAACGAAGGAAGATATGTAGGTCCTTAGGATCTCATTTAGCTTCCGGTGGCTGGAATCTTAGCCGTGAACAAGGCAACAAGCTTCTGGCGAGTAGATTTCGAGGTGATTGTCTCTACATATGCAATTGGCCTGGATGTATTCACGTTGAAGAGAAACGAAATTACATGTTGTTTAGAGGTGTTTTCAAGGATTTCAAACGGTCTCGAGTTTGGAGAACGATAAACGACGGTAATCATCGGAGTAAGATCTCGGGGCTGAAATGCGCGTTTTGTTTGTGCGATGAGACTTGGGATTTGCATTCATCGTTTTGCTTGAGAAGAGTGTTTGGGTTTCATGATGATGGTGAACCAGTTGTTAGAGCTTATGTTTGTGAGAATGGTCATGTCTCTGGTGCTTGGACTGCTTTACCTCTCTACACTTGAGAGAGGCCTTTTGATTCTTCTTCTACGGTCTAAGTATGAATCTTGTTTTGATTGTTTGTAGGAATCGTTTGTGTTTCAAATTGTGCTTAATGCTTTAAGCTGTACAGTGCCAGAACATTTGGAACTTTAAAAGCATTTTGTTGTTTATTCATGGTTTCATCTCTGGAACAGTGTTTCCACTTGTCAGATGTTTGTTCTTCTGCTTTCGCCTTCTCTGTCACAATTCCTCCTTACCAGCATCATCTTTCTCGTCTCCTGATTCCGCTCTTTGAAACACAAAAGTCTGCAAAATGTTTCCTAAGAAGACTATTTAACATCTAAAATGGAATATGAGATGCTTGAATAACAAAGTCATTCAACTCGGCGAAATGCTCTCGTTTGATCACGAAGCTGTGACCAAACATAAAGTACCTTCATCATCACAGTCAGCAGAGAATTCCTTTCTATCCTCCATTCCGCCACTGTCGCCCAGTCCGAGACTACTAGTGATATCATCCATTAAACTGAGCCCTTCCATTCCACCACTTCCGCCAGGTCAACCAAACTTCTGCAAGATGTATATGAAGCAGAAGATAAACAACATTCACAAGCTAGAAAGAAACAAACCGAATCATTTTCTCCCATATCCATATCTGTGTCACCTAAAACAAAACAAAAACACAAAGAGTTAACTTTATATACACGAAAATAGATAAGCTTTCAGATGAATGCAAACCAGCGGTGCCTTCCTCTTCCTCATCAACCCACTTCTCCCAATCCACCTTGACATAGTCTGGTGGCGGCTTTTCTCCACGGAGTAGCTTTTTCCACCTTTTCGGCTCTGCTTTCTCCACCTTTTCGGCTCTGCTTTCTCCACAAGCGCTTATCCTCTACAAGCTAGTGTTTCGAAATTAAGTGGGTTACGAAGAATCAATGGTGAAGTCTTGGAAAGCTGTTATTAGGAATGTGGCCTAACTTAACCCAAAAGCTAGCTCAAGAGTTAAAGATTGCCACATCCTTTATATATTACCCAAAGATCTTAATCCCAAGCAATGTGGGACATTCTAATAGGCCTCCTCGAGATGTGGGTGGAAAACTGTTCAACGGGAAACAGCCCAAGCCCAACATCTCGGAAATACAACAAGACATGCCACTTATATGGGCCACATAGGTGGAAAACCATTTGTGTGAGAATTTGCTTGTTGAGCCAACCTTGGGCTCTGATACCATATTAGGAATGTGGCCTAACTTAACCCAAAAGCTAGCTCAAGAGTTAAAGATTGCCACATCCTTTATATATTACCCAAAGATCTTAATCCAAGCAATGTGGGACATTCTAATAGCTGTGCTTGTTTGCGGTTCAACGGTTGAGATGGAACGGTTTAAATCTAGGATTTACGCAGACTGTTTTCTAAATCAAATTTTTTTATTTCTTCCAAAATAATATTTATAACGTGGAGGTCCCCTTGTTCTAGTATGCTGCATGCAGAACCATCCGTTTTAGATCCAAGTTTTACAGGGAGAACTGCGTTTGCTACAACATGAGCTAGGTCATGATCAAAGCCTCCATAGACTCGATCCTAAACCTATACCGATAGATGATAGATCCGGCTCGTGACGACGGAGAAGATTCGAAACTAGTATCGGATCTGGTTTAGAAACGACGTCATTTTGATCTCTATATGACGATCTCTGCACCGATACTATTCCCGCTCCTCTTGAAGATTCAATCGACGATCAAGAAGAAATCGAGACCAATGAGATTATACCTTGACGAGATTTTCTGGTAAGGAAACAAAGGAAGATTTGTTTATCTTTAGGATCTCATTAAGCTTCCGGAGCTTGGAATCTAAGCCGCGAACAAGGCAACAAGCTTCTTGCGAGTAGATTTCGGGGTGACTGTCTCTACATTTGCCAATGGCCTGAACCAGTTGTTAGAGCTTATGTTTGTGAGAATGGTCATGTCTCTGAAGCTTGGACTGTTTTACCTCTCTACACTTGAGAGGTCTTTTTCATTCTTGGTCCAAGTCTTCATCTTGTTTGGATTTTGTAGGAATCGTTTTTCAATTCTGGTTAATGTTTAACTAAGCTCTCTACGTTAAAGAAAACGGGCTTAAATCGATGTGGTTGTTGTTTCGGTGTTTAACATATCGGACTTCGAGTCAAATGCATAAACTAGATTCAAAATGTGTCTAAATTTGGTTTTTGGAACTTGATCTCAAGTTATAAAATAGATGGGCAAAAGACTTCCTCACAAACTCTTATGTCAAAGCCAAAAATTGCAAAGTCCAAGAACATTTCGAAACCTTATAAGTAACCCACAACAGAAGGTAGACGAAACATAAACCCATAACAAATCCATAGAAAGAAAACAGAGTAACAACATTCATATAATAAAAAGCAAGTAATTCAGAGGGTTTCATAAACCTGAAAGCTAATGGTTTTCATCATCTCTAGAACAGTGTCTTCACTTGCCTTCCTTAACAGATGTTGTTTCTTCTGCTGCTGGTGCCTTCTCTGTCGCAGGAGCTTCCTCCTTAACGGCGTCATCCTTCTTGTCTCCTGATTTTGCTGTTTCTTCTGCAATTCAAAAAAAATGTTTCATTACATAAAGTTCTGCATTTTGTTGAGGAAGAAAGAAACACTAAAATTCTGCAAAATGTTTCCTAAGACTACTTACTACTCAGCATCTACAATGGAATATGAGATACTTCAATAACAAAGTCATTCTAGTCTGGCGAAAGGCTCTCTCATTTCAACAAGAGGCTGTGACCAAACATAAACTAGAAAGATCTTCAAAAGTATTACCTTCATCATCACTGTCTTCAAACTCTTCCATGCCTCCCATTCCTCCCATACCACCCATGCCTCCCATTCCTCCCATACCACCCATTCCACCGAGCCCTTCGAGTCCACCCATTCCACCCATTCCACCCATTAATTTCTGCACGAAGCAAGGATCAAGTATGAAGTCATTTCTCAAAGCTAGGTATATATGAAGCACAAAATAAAGAACAATCACAAGTTAGAAACAAACCGAGAAATCCATTCCTTCCATTCCTCCCATTCCTCCCATTCCACCCATTCCTCCCATTCCTCCCATTCCTCCCATTCCGCCCATTCCGCCCATTCCGCCCATTCCGCCCATTCCTTCCATTCCTCCCATATCCATATCTGCAGCACCTAAAACATAACATAAAAAACAAATAAGTTAAGATGAATGCTAACACATAACACATCCTGAACTTTATATAAAGTGCAGAGAGTGTACACAAGAACAGATTTATAAGCTTTAAGATGAATGCTAACCAGCACTGCCTTCATCGTCCTCATCTACCCACTTGTCCCAATCCACCTTGACATAGTGTGGCGGCTTCTTCACACGGAGTAGCTTATTCCACCTTTCTGGCTCTGCTTTCTCTATTATGCAGAATATGCTTCTTTCACCAATGTTGATTTTGCTTTCCTGAATGGATAATAAAGGGTTAAATATTAACTAGCAAACAAATGATACAATAAGACCAAGTTAGTCTACGAATCTCACCTCAACATTGACTTTATCGTGAAGTTCGAGTTTGAGCTCATAAACGTGGTTTTCTGGACCAACTTTCGCAGAGAAATCAAACACTCCTTCTGGGTCTAGATTAACCTTGGCATCCTTAGTATCTGCCAATACTACAGTGAGGAAAATCTTCTCGGTAGTCTCAGCCCACTTCACTTCAGGATGACGACTGTAAAAAAACATGAAAAGCAATCACCTTCAAACCTTCAAGACCAAAAGAGAAACACCAAATATGTATACAAATCTAAGATACGAAACTGTCACTTGATTCAACACAGAAAACTGAAACTTCACTAAAACAAACTATGTCTTAAATCACATTATATACAAACATAAACCCTAAACCCTAAATCCAACTGCTCTAAGGTTCAAGCTTCAACAAGAAGAGATTGATGCAACTATATTCATAAAAATTGATGGCGACAGTGTAAAGAGAACTTTCGGACCCCAACACAATGAACCCTAGACCCGAATTAAAAACCCTAATTTTTTTTTCCCGCATTCCTCAGGAATCTAATGAAAGCGTAGCCCTAAATCAACCGATACTAGAAAGAACCCAAGTTTCAAAGACAAACCCATGACTAAAAATGAAAAAGTGAACTGAACAAAGCAACAAAAAACAACACACGAATGAATCTGAGAAGCATAAAGCAAAGAGTTTAGGTTAAAGATCCCAATAAGATAAGAGTGATGAAAAAGATTTCTTATAAGTTACCTCATGTTTACTCGAAAACTGTAGAAGAAGAAGAAGAAGAACCCTAGAGAGAGAGAGAAGAGAAAACACAAACGGTGACGCAAAGATTAGATTTTTTGATCGAGTCGAGAGAGAAAGACTTCTCTTTTAGTTGCTCCACATAGATTGTGTTTATAGTGCTCCAAGCATTTATCCTCTACAAGCTACTGTATCGTAGTTAGGTGGGTCACGAAGAATCTCAACGGTTACGATTGTTTACGGTTCAACGGTTAAGATGGAACTAACTCAATTTAGGGTTTAAGTGGACCGATTTCTTCTCACAAGAATATCTTCTTTTTTTAATCCAAATTTTTTGAAATCATGTCCATAGATTATAGATTTACCTGTTGTGACCAAGAAGATCATATAGACTAAGGCAAACAAATTAAATTTACGATTGTTAGTTATGACCGAGTGTTCCTCAATGTTAATTCTAAGGATTCTCACATCTAAATACGTTAAGACTTTTTTAGTTCATGCCAATGAGATGGTTGCATCATCATCATCATTGTCGTCATCAGGTAGTGTGAGTAAAGTTGTCAAGTCCACAAGATGCCGCATCGTTGGTCGTCCGTGCGGGCAGTTCCAAGGAGATTCGAGATCTGCCAAGTGTTCTACTATCTGACCATACCCAAATGACAAAAGCATTAGATTTGGTTTTCTTGTCTGAGGAAGAAAAAAATCAGTAGAGATGATTTACTAATCAAGTCCTCATGTGTTTTACTATTCAAGTTGAATTTAGTAGAGACGATTATATGACTCCATCATCAGCTATTAAGGGACATTCATTGTTGTTTATCTTAGGGTAAGCATTGGTTACCTTCTGCATTTCGTTTTTTCTAAGTGGATCTCCGATCATCACGGACGATCTACATGCTCGGGATGCTAGCATTGCACGGACTCGTGATGGACAAATCGAATCTGTTTTGCTGGTTTTGTAGCTACTCACACCCGAACACTCACCGTGGTTATCTCCTAGAGTTGAGATCAGGTCTTTAAGATCTGTCCAAAACAATAAAGTAAATAAGAACATGTGATGCAAAAGTCATTTGATGCAACAGAGGTACAGAAAACAACTACCTTCGACCCCAAAGGTGATATTCTTGCTATAAGGAACGGCTCGTAGTCTAAAGTGTTTTCCGGCAGGAGCACTTGGATTCTCCTCTAGAAGAAATCCATTTTCCCTAGAAAGTTGTTACAGAATATTGAATCTCTAAACCGATATCAAGAATAAGAAAATGTTACAAATTAAGTAATGCTGATCCTTCACCTGATAATATCCATGTGCATTAACACAGTGACTTCTTCTTCTGGAGAGAGCTCCAAGTTCAAAGGCCTGATTTTAGGGAAAAAATAGATAAATATGGGTAACATATAGAGTAGTGGAAGAGAGCTACTACTACTGGTTCAAGTATCGCTAAGTAAAAATGGGACCTAAAAACGCTGCCGGGGAGTTTGATGTGAAAAAGTGAAAGCAGTGAAATGGAATCAAGAATCTAGATTGATCTCACAAAGAAACTCACTGGAGTAAGGGTTGCTGGTTCAGGACAGTTGACCTTGCTAAATGTTCGAAGTTGAATTTCTCATCGGCTGCATGCTGGCCATAAAATTCAATCACTAGTCTACTCCATTTATTCAAAATTCAGACTAGGGAAGAACTCTGAAATGATGGAAACTACCATTTTCAACAACTCAACCAAAAACTATACAATTCGGAGGAGGAAAAAAGGGTCTGGAAGCATGCATATATGAAGACTCACCTGATCCACAATGAACAGATCTCGCTCCAATTTTGCTATGATGAACCCAAGATTGAATTGCCCGAGTACCTATCACACAAAAAAAACAGATAAATATTTCTCGACAGGAGCCAGGATAAAGCAGAACGAAAAACATTAAGAATCGATCTTTCAATGCTGAGACATCGCTTAGTCAAAAAGATAGCAACCTGCATTCTCCTGAAATCCTCTTTTCGAAAAAGCCTTTCCAGCTCAGAAGTAGCTGCAGCTAAAGCCCTTGCTTTTCGCTCTTCATCATCCGGTTGAGATAACTCTAATGTTGCAGCAGCGAAGCACCTGTAACTTGTCATTTGTAAAGATTTCCATTTCTCTAACTACAAACAGAACACACAATAGAAGAAAGAAATCTTACTTTTTAGGCCGTGGCGTATTCATACATTTAGATACATATCCTGTGGACTGCAATCTCGACAGCCTCTCTAACCTCCTTTCCCTGAGATTTTGGAAACTAAATTCTAATGTGGAAAACATTTTTGGACCGGTTGACTGAGCTGGGGAGTCCAGCACTGTGGCCACAGATCGCAATGGCTGACTGCACCCTGGATTGTCCTCCGAAATTCTTTCCACATCCCCCTTGGTGAGTGTGTTATCTGATGTTGGTTCTTCAAAACATATAGGCTTTTCATGTTCCTGTAGATGATATAGTGGTTGAATGACAGTAATTTTAGGAGATAAACTAACAAAAGAAATAGCCACATTAAACATAAACAATTAGCATCCTACTAAGACATATTTTTAACTACAACAGCCTACTTACTCTTTCATGTCTTTCAGTATTATCAGTTTGTGTTCCAGGAGCAATCTGATTGCCTAGTTCAGAATCCATTTCGTTTGGTGTCATATCTTCCTTCGAGATGTCCATACCATCTACTTGATCGCCTTCCATAAGACATCTTGAAGCCAAAGCACGAACTTCAAATTTGCTTTTCTCCACACGATAACTAGAAGTTTGGTTTCTGAGAACAGGTACTTCAGAGAGGATGGTGCTTATGTTTTCATGTTTTCTCTTTCCCATGGTAACAAAAGTATTCAAAGTTGACTGGGCAAAGGTAGAGCGACTGCCCAAGTCTTTACTTGCATTGGTGACTTTCTCCATCACATTTAAGTGAGGCAAACCTTTGCTAGTTGTCTTGTCAAGGTGAGTTACAGTTAGGGACATATCATGGGGTGATAAAGAACCTTCCCCTTTCTTAGTCCCACGTGCCTTAATGTCAAATTTAAACTTCTCCATTGGTGAACTATTATCAATCTCAGCCTCCCTTGAGGATTGGTTTTCCCCTGCAATAGCTTCCCCTTGTCTTGTTTTAGAACCGACATCCAGAACAATTTCTTTTGACATAAGATTTGATTTCTCCTGAAAAGATGAAACTCCAGCCTTATCTGGTTGCTCGGAATTCTCCTCAAACCTATTAACAATATAAGACGCATTACTAGAGGAATATATCTCGTTCAGACCTTCCCTCAGAGAACCGATAACAGAATTCTCATCAGAAAAGAACACCTTTCTCTTATCGGGCGTGACATTCAAATCACATGCTCCACCTGGCACAACAAAATCCAGAATGGCAACTGGATATTTCCGAGAACTTGTATCTTTATATAACTCATTCACCAATTTGCTGACTTTTGGCATTTCAACAGGCCGACCATTTATAAAGAAATACTGTCGATCTGCCAAATTGCGTCCAGTGCCCTGTCCAGGCTTGGAAAGAAACCCTTCAACTCTACAATCTTCTGATATACATATACTAACAGGCTGTAGACTTGTAAAGGTGTTCATGCCGAAAACTGTTATGATATTATCTTTAAGTGAACCCCTCCCTTGTGTGTTCAGCACAATAGACTTAGGATTTTTCCCACTCGTGTTAGAGCAGACAAACCGCACTCCTTTCGCAATAAGTGCATATGCCTACACAAATGAAATGCAGGAGGAAAATTATGGAAGAAATAATTGGTCATCACAAAAACAGAGATTGAGCAGAAGTCAAAAGCTGATTCTAGCAGAAGAAACTGAGCTTAAAACAGTCTACATAGTAAACATAATTCACACCACAAAGATAACTGGAGTAAAAAAAAACTTCAACTAGAATCATGCCAATAAAACCGATTAACCATCCACATTGAAGATAAAAAACAAAACTTTTGAAACTCAATGGAAAAACATCAAACAGTAGAAATTCAGTGACCATAGAAGTACTCAGGAAGACAAAAACTTGATGATCCAGACAAGTGTGAATATCAAAGAAGTAAGTAAGAAACTCACGTTCAACAAAGATACAAGCTTCCCATATTCTTTGCGTATATTGCGCTTAAACTCTTTGCTCCGTACAGGCAAATTAGAGAACAACTTCCTAACAGTGACAGTGGTACCAATTTGGCGTGCAATCTTCTTTTCAGCAGTAAGCAAACCAGAATGATCAAACGTCAAGAGCGTAGCAACTGGCTCATTCTTTGTTCTTGTTTCCACCGTCAGATTACCCAATGCACAGAGAGAGCTCAAGGCTTCTCCTCTAAAACCATAGGTAGTCAAATTCAGAAGATCTGTGAAATCCTCCAATTTAGAAGTATGATGCTTGAGTGCTAGAACCTATAGGGCAAAAATCAGAATCCCAAATCCAAATTCGGAATCATCCAAAGTTCTTCGGAGATTTTTTGGAAAACAAACCTTGAAATTGGTAGGGGAAATGCCACAACCATTGTCAATGACCTGAAAGTAGTCTTCGCCGTAGTCTCGGAGGTTGATCTCTATACTGGTAGCTCCGGCGTCGAGACTGTTCTCCACAAGCTCCTTGACGGCAGAAGAAAGGTCTAAGATGACTTGACCGGAGCAGATTCTGTGAATTACGTTTCTGTTTATCGGTCTTATCAAAGGAGAGCTAGTAGTCGTCGGAGACGGAGACAAATCTCCTTGCATTTTCAAAACCATATAAACCGGTTAATATCCTCAATCGAATCAACACCACAGTAATCTGAGAGTGCGAAAGCCCTTAGGGTTTATGTTTTGCCGCCAAAATCGAAGGTGAGACAAATTGTGAGGATGAAGAAGACAAGACGAAGAAGCTTTGGCGTTAAGAGTTTCAACAGTGGGACGCAGCTTGCACATTGCGTTTTGCGTTTGCGTTTTGAATAAATTGATTTTGATGTTCATGGACTTAAGATTTAAAGCCCATATCTACTTATTGGGCTTAGACCTAAAACTTCTGCCCGTTTTGACAGATGTACAAGTAGTCGTTGGGGCCACGTAATTCATTTTAGGGTTAAAGTCAGGTTAGGGTTTCTTCTTCATATGCTAAATAGCGTTCCCTCGATCTCACTCTCTCACATAGTCTCTCTACTTCTTGACTATATCCAATGACGACGATTAAGAGGAAATGTCAAGATATTCCCGTCGTAGCCTCCTCCTCAAGGAAGGTGAGTGAGAAATTTTTAAACCTTTTCGTAGATTTTGGAATTGATAGGGTTTCTAAATTCCCTGGATTTTGTGCAGCTAACGTCGAAGATCCTGAAGGTAGCTTATGCGCAGCAAAGAGAGGTCGAGAATGAAAAAAACTCAGAGACAATCCCAATGAGCGCCTTTTTCAACAAGGCAGTGTATGGTTTGGAAGAGTTTTTTTTTTTTTTTGATAAGTACATGGTTTGGAAGAGTTGATTGATGACGATGATGTTGATGAGAAATCTCAAGAGTTTCAGACCCAACTTGATAACCAAGTCAGATTCTTTCTCTATTTTGTTTTCCCTCTCAATCATTTGTTGTTGATGGAGGATGTTTTTCCAGGATATGACCAGCTGTGAGGAAGAAGACAAGATACTTGATGCTTTGTTTTCCAAGGATGGAGCTTCAATAGCTAAGCGTCTCTCTCATGCTATATATAACTTCTATCAAGAAGAATGAAGATAAAGGTGATGCTACATATATGTTTCTTGATACCTATTTCTGTGTGAAAATTATTGTTTGTTTTGTATGGTTTAAGTGGCTAACTATATCATGATAGATGGTTATCTTTTGCGTGTTGAAAAAGGTTCAGCTTTTGTTGCAGAAACTACTTCCATGTCCATGTCTGAAGCCTCTGACTATTTTCAAGAGTAAACTTCTCTTTCTTTTTTTCCTTGTCCTTGTATTATCAGTCTTAATTTTGTCTCTGATATAACTACCAAAATGTGCAGTCTTGGAAAGCTTAAGAGTGATACAGACATGGGAAATTGCCTAAAGCTCTTAACAAAATTATTACCGAAAGGAAAAACTGGGTTAGTTTATTGAAGTTAACCCAACCAGAGAGCTGGTCAACCAATGCGATTTACAAGCTTACAACCATGTTTGCCTCCAGCAGCAAAGCTGGACTCTTCTTTAAGAATTTTTTACTTCCTCGGGAGAAAGAAGATATCAGAACCCACAAAAAGCTACACTTTTTTCTATACCAATCTTTGAGAAAGACACTGTTCAACCCCAAGGCATTCTACTTGGGAATTGTCCTCTGTGTAAGGTGTGTTTGTTTTTGCCAGTCCCATCAACATTTTCTTCTTCTTCTTCTTAAGATCCCTTTTCTAAATAACCTTGCATGTTTTTCAGTCTGGAATATGTGCCGCCCATGAAGCTATAATTTTAGGAAGTATAATGCAAAAGTTTTCTATTCCTGAAAACTTCTCAAAGTAACATAGATATTAACCTCTTTCTCAAATTTTATTAAACACACAAATAACATACAATCTCATACATTCCTGTTATTCAACTGCAGTGCTGCCTTGGTATGTTTGGCGGAGTTGGAATTTTATGGCCCAACAAGGTAAAACGCAGGCTAACCTTACACTTACACATATAGGTATTGTGTACCTTTATTTGGTTACATTCTGTTTTTGTGTGCGTGGGTGCAGTTTCTTCATGAAAGTTATTCTGGAGAAGAGATATGCAATGGCGTATCGGGCGGTTGATGCGGTCACTGCTCATTTCTTGAGAATTCATAAGGAGACGAAAGTTATGCCCGTCATTTGGCACCAAACACTTCTTGCCTTTGTGCTATGGTAAGTACGAAGAGTTGATCATTTAGGCAAGGAATCAGTTTTTGCCTCTCATATTAAAAAATCTACTTTTGCAGTTACAAGCATGAATTTAAAAAAGGAAGATAAACAGAGTCTCGGAAGTCTACTTGACAAGCAAAATCACAAGCTTGTAGGACTCCTTTACCTTATCTAGTCAAAAAATCTTAAAACTTTTTTCTTATTTAACCTTCCTTACCATTGCAGATTACTCCTGAAATTGCGAGAGAGCTTGAAAACAGCAGTAACCGTAGAGAGAAGTTAAGTAATTCACCTTCAGCTCCTACAATATATAAGCCGGTAAAAGACGATTTGTTTGACATGCCACAAGTTCCAATGGAAGAACTTGAGCCACATGTTATATTAGCATCATCAACACTTGAACTTGAAGTCGGGTTCTTATGCTGCAATGCTTGTGCAAACTGAAAAGCTCTTTTAGCAAGCATAGTAGACAGCCTCCCAGCGTCACACAAATAAAATAGAAACTTGTTAAAACTTGAAAGACTGTTTTATTAGAGCTGGAAAAGCTTACCTTCCAAATATGAAGATGGAAATGTATATCCTCTTAATGCAGAGGAGAAAAACTAAGACCTAGCAAGTTCTTTTTCTTCCAAAATAGACCTTCACTTGATTCTAGTCGATTTTCTTTTGTTCCTTTTGTTATGCTTACGGGTCGTCTAGACATAGATCGTAAAGCGTACAATGCACACACCTTCCAGATAGAGAATTATGTCCGCATCTTTAAAAGATCCGAGCCTCTATATACATACATACGCATGTATTTAGATTATACAGCGAATGTTTTTTTTTCATTTTATGTTGAGAAAGAAAATGAATTAGACAAGCAAAACGAACAACACCCTTTCTCTCTGTACACAAATTTATAAATTAAACGACCAAAATGAGATAAGAAAAATATCCGAACACGAGAGAGATCAAAAACGAACAAATCTCTCTCTCTCTCTCTCTCTCTTCCTCTTTTTTGTCTCTTCTACATGAAGTAGCTCAACGACGTCTTCTTCCTCGATCCTCCTTCACCATACAGCTCGTTCCATTGCTGAAGCTCGTTCATGTTCGAGGAGTCTGAAGAAACACTTGCGCATACCTACATGTTTTTGATCATTTAGCTCTCTTTTCAATTTATATTCACAATGTGAAATTGATTGGCTTCTTAGGTTTGGACTTACCTGATCGTGGGCAGCCTTGAAATCGTTCATTGTCAGGGGACGAACATCTGTGCAGCTATACAATGGCGGTGTGGGACGGTTCTCAGCCTGAGCTACAGTTTTCTCCTGTAGTCGAAACAACAGTCAGTATAAAAAGAATTGAGTTCTGAGAGTAGAATAAATGGCCTTTCGATTCGAAGCAATGCATTAAATAGAAACTAAACCTTCTTTTCTTTCTCCAGTATTTCTCGGATTGGAAGATGTGCTGCGGTCACACACAGATTCTGCAACCAAAAAAAAATGTGAGTGTGTTTTTTGACAGTGGAAGGAGATTGAGAGGGAAGGAGAGAGAAAGTGGAGACCTTTAAGTCACTTCCTGAGTACCCATCTGTCATATTTGCTATAGCTTCTAAATCAACGTCTGGTGCTATTTCTTCTTTTGCTAGAATGACGCTCAAAATCTTTGATCTGTTCGTTGCATCTGGAAGATTAACCATCAATCTGCATAGAAGTAGTATGCAGGAGAAGCTCAACAATGGTTCCAACATGAGGAATATTCTTCACAGCTAACAGAGAACAGAGGAAAAAGTGGTGGTTTTACCTCCGAGGAAGCCGTCTAATAACAGCTTCGTCTAGATCAAATGGTCTGTTGGTGGCAGCGAGTACCAGAACCCGTTCTCTATCCTTTGTTCGTAAACCGTCCCAGTTTATCATGAATTCGTTCTTCATCTTACGCATAGCTTCATGTTCCCCAGGATTTTCACGTCTACCCAACATGCTATCAACCTAAATTATAATTTTCCACAGTCATCAGATCGAGAAAGTACATAAAAGATTGGCTTCAAAGGTGAGCGAACAGAGAACGCTTTTTAATCTCTTCAAACATACCTCATCAACAAAAATGACACTGGGCGCAATCTTGCTCGCTAAGGAGAAGACAGCTTTAACGTACTTCTCTCCCTCACCAAACCACTGCAAAGCATTTAGCATAAATGGTCAATTACAATCTTTAAAAGAAAGCATAAAAGGAAATCAGACACTTTATGAGAGATACCTTCGAAGTGATGCTAGACATTGAGATATTGATGAAATTTGCGCCAGCCTCAGTTGCTACTGCCTTTGCCAGCATCGTCTTCCCAGTACCAGGAGGTCCAAACAACAGTATACCTTTCGTAGGCTGCATTAAACATAAAATATATGTTTGGTTCCAGTAAAGTGGGAGTAAGTGTAACAAACATATGTGAATACGGACGGCAATCAAAAGGTACCTTTGTGAGCTGGCCTTTGCCAAACAATTCCGGTCTCTGAAGAGGAAGCATCACCAACTCCTTCAATGTTTCTTTCACATTTTCCAGAGCCCCAATATCATCAAAGGAAACACCTATATCGCTAGGTGGAATGACATCTGACAACAGTTTTTTCTCAAATTCGTTCTCAGTAACGACATCCTGAAACAGTATAGTAAAACAACTCTTAATCCGGAACTTACTAGGCAGCTTGGGAAGAAAGAAATTAAGTTACATAATATTACCTTGAGAGACTTCTTTAAACTCTTGTTTTCGTTCTGAAGATCATGTAACATCTGCAGGCCATATGTAATGCTGCAACAAGTGCCAAAATGTGATTTATAAATCAAACATGTATCTTAGCTACAGTATCACACAGCCTATACAAGAAAGCTCACCTTTCTGCAGAGATAACAAGCTTGTTGTCTTTAACTATAGGTTCTTTGCATATCATAAGATGGTGACCGAAAGCCCAGCCAACCACTTTTTCAACACCTATTAACACATACAGTTTTTGGTTAGTCAAACAACCGGCTTATCAAGACAACATACAGAAAGAAAAAAGCAAGTGAATGAGGCCTACTTTCAGATGGAAGGGTTTGATCTTTGATGCACAAGGTTCCAAGATCAGGGCAGTCAAGTCGGTTTTTGGCGAGGACCTGTAGGCATCATTATAAAGACATAAGCAAAAGAAAAAATGAAAAGAACAAGGAACGCTTAGATTACTGAAGGACATGATTAGAAGATGCTCACTGCAAGGATGCTGGTTATATTAGCCTGAACCTTCAAAATCTCTGTGTCACGGTCGAGTTTCTCCTTCCAATCCGAGAGTAAAGCTTCATCCTATCACGTCTTAAGAGCATAAGTAAAAGGAAAAATCAAATTACCCCAGACAAGAAGAAATGAATAAAGGTAACAACCTGAGGTAACTGGATGGGGACTTTGTTAGGAAATAGTCGAGTTATTTGTTTCATTGATTTAGGTGTTTCTTTGCTTCTATCGTGCAGTTTACCAAAATTATCCTGCAGATAGTATGAAAAATCATTTTCAACATCTAAAAAAGATACCAAATCTAAGATGACTTTGATGAACCTTACCATTAAGATAGAATTATTTAGGTACATTACTATTTCGAGAAATTGAGAATAATTCAAGATAAGTCAGGTCATCATACCGGAAATGCTAGATCCAGTAGTGCCGTCTGATTGCCACCAAACTTAGTAAACAAGAAACCTCCAGGATGGGACTGAAAAAGAACCATCAAACCTCTAATTAACTATACAGATAAGCAAATTAAAACCAACTTAAAAGATACCAAAACAGAAATAGAGAAGACTGAATAAGTTCCCTACTTTCTCCTTTCGGCTGTCCAACTGGGTCTGTGAGGCCATGACAACTATATTTTCCGGTAAAGTCTCGAGCTTGCTCTTCAAGGTTGCATACACATCACTGTTCCCCACAAGAGATTTCTCAATATCTTTCAGGAACAATATTAGTGACCCTCCTTCACTCTCACTATATGCGACCTATGATATGAGTCAAGAGGTTAACTATCCTGTATCTACAAGCCATAAGTAGTTATCCCATAACTTAAAGTAAAAGCTACCTCAAAGATTTCATTAATGGCGAGTTTATCAGCATCATCGCTAGAAGAACCTTCTAACCGAAGTGAGCTAGCTGCACACAAAGAATAATATTAATAAAGTTCACTTTTTAAGTGAGGTAAAGTTAGAAAAAAACAGCCCGCCGATTACCAGCACAGAAAAAACCATGGTCTTCTTCGCAGAGGCCACCAAGATCATTGCCATCTTGTACAGACCTATCGAATCTAATCCCAATTTTTGAAGCACAGTTGTCTTCAAATGCAAGGAGTACTTTTCCCTGGAAACCAGGGGCCGGTCCCCTATATTATATAGCAGGGGAAAAAGTAAGAACTAAGTTGTGAATACAACAAACATTTACAGCAGATGTGAAAACTTTAAAAAACAGTAGACAATACCTAAGCGGGCCTTGAAGAGAAGAAATTGCAGAAGCCGATGGACCTACAAATTTTACTCGGTCACCTGAAAATGATAAAATTGCTTGTTCAATAAAACAGGAAGAGTGGTACATCAAAAGAAGGATAACAGTCAGATTACACAAAAATAAAAAATAGACCATCATGCCTGCTTTGAATGTGTAACTTTTAGAAGTTGCTGTTGACACTTCTTGTTTTGGCAAAGCCTGAGAGCTTAATGTTGAGCCACCTGTTATATCAGCATCAACACTTGAAGTCGGTTTCTTATGCTGCAATACTTGTGCAGCCTGAACAGCTCTTTTAGCAAGCATAGACAGTCTTTCACGCCTAGAACCTTCTTTAGAAGATTCAGCTTCCCTGGCTGGTGATCCCTGAAGCCATCCCGAAACAGTACAAAATCAATGACTTCACTGGAATGAACAAACCTACTACTTATCAAGGAGCCTGTTGGAAAAAAATGTCGGGTGGGCACTGTGACAGGTAGCATCAAAGCTATTTGTAATGTATATATACATATACCCAAATGCTATTTACATTAGTAGTAATATAGCTGAAAAATCTCCTGACTGGGTCTCGACTATTAGGATCTTTTTTCTTTTAGAACAATCTTTGCGGATCAAGATGTATAGATCTATGTATCTATGTAGAATCCGGTTCATGGACCTCATTTTACTAGATGACTAAGGTCTGTCAACTAGAAGAAACAGAAAAGAAAAAAATAAAGAGGAAAAGAAGATTACCCCAGGCAACAAAAGAGAGTCAACAATCATCAATTTGGCCCCAAAATTCTTAGCAAGCGCTTTCACCAACATTTCCTGATATATCTCAGAGCCTGAAAATATTTCATATGGAAAACTTGGTTAGAAAAATAGGAATCTCAGACCTTAAATATACAAAGGTAAACTTGGCTAGAGGAATGGACACAGCCAAAAATAGAAATACTGCTAGTAAAGCCTCATACCTGATGGTCCAGAGAGTAATACACGGGGACACGCTGTAGTCAAGTCTGTTGCAAAATTTGCATACTTGCTTCCACCGTTCATATGGACAAACATCGATGTCATCAAAACACCCTTTGTCGTAGCACTGAGACAATTTAGATATATTTTTGGCTATAAATCATCAAACCATCAAAAGCAAGATGTATAGTATATATATAACATAATATTTAGCA